GCAACATTTGAAAGTATAGTTGGTGAGGTAAACCTTGTGCTTGTTGATTATACTGTCGTTGTTGCTGTTGTGGTTGATGCTGTTGCAGTTGTGGTTGATGCTGTTGTTGTGGGAAATTTTGAGATTGTTGATTTCTTGGAGGCAAATTTTGAGGTTGTTGTTGGTGATATTGCTGTTTTTGTGATTCTTGAGGATAAAGAGTAGATTGATTAAAAATCCTGGACTGTTGTTGTTGGATCAATTGTGGAGGCAAAGATGATTGAGGGGGTTGATTAAAAATCCTGGACTGTTGATTTATTAATGGTTGTTGCATCATTTGTGATGATTGAGACATTTGAGGAAGAGGCTGACTAAAGATCCTGGATTGTTGTTGAGATGATTGAGGTGGCCTTGGTTGTTGTTGGTTTGATCTTTGATACATTGTATTATTGCTGCTGCAATTGTTGTTATCATTTCCACTGTTATTGTTGTCATTATTACCACTATCGTCATTGTTGTTGCCATTATTATTATTGGTTTCTTCTGTTACTGTTAATGGTAAGTTTTGTTCATCAGAAAAAGGTGAATTTGTGTGACTTATCAAGTTGAACTCATTAACTATAATAATACTAATATTTAATATCGTTACCATTGTAGATTATAATTATAATAAATAATTAGTTAGTTAATTAATAATGTATTTGCCAGTAAACCTAGTAATGAATATTAAAACTTTACTTTTTTGAATCATCTTGATTACTATATGTATAGTTGGTCACAAGGATGATGTCTCCTATTTCAAGATGCATTTTTTTCTTTCGTGATTTTATCATATCTGCTAAAATATAGCCTAAATAAAAAACAGATATATTCATTTCGTCATGTAAACATAATAATCTAATTGCAACATTCAAGAAAATAATAAATAATTACACATGAATATGGAGACGCCATCTGTAGATAAATGTCTAATAGTTATATGAAATATGTATAATATTTATTTATTAGTCAAAGTCAAATATTCTATGTATGTATCATTGCATAGACTATGTATGGAGCATAAAAACCATGAAATCAAAGGAAAACGCGCGATAAAAATATAAAAAATGTAAAAATATATAAAATACTTGCTTAACATATTTATTAGATATTATTCCTGGGCTTACTTTTGTGATCTGTAACCGAAGATTTGGCAAACTTGTCATAGGTAATTTCTTCAAATATTCAATGAGCTGTCCTGGGCCATATTTTCGACTCAGCCCTTCCAAGACGCTCGCATCCTTCTCTTCTATTATCACATGTGGATCTTTAGTTCTGTTGTATGTGAAATCAAAATTATGTGAATTTGAAATTCACATGTGAAAATTGAAATTTAAATTCACATATGTGAAAAAAATTTTATATATAATAAAACTAGAGTGACGACGAGTGATGGCGGGCGATGACCACCACCGCCACCATTCTTAAAACACTTACCCAGCTGCTTCTCCAGACGTATTATTTTTGCTTCTTCCATTTCTTGCTGCCTTGTCTTTGGGCATTTTTATTTTAAAAATAAAAAGTTTAAAGTTTATTTGATCGACCGACAAACGCGTGCGCATTAATTATTTATCCCATTGGTATTTTTTTTTGGTAGGACAGACGCGAATTGATTTTTTTTTCTTTTCTTTTGGAAAAACAATTTACTTTTCAAAGATGAAAAAACACGAGTGATGTTTGGTTTATGGTTTGGTTTGGGTCTCCTAAATAAGACGTGTTAATAACTAACCAGAGGTGCTTTTTTTTACTTGTATTGATATAATGTGGTGTCTTATTTTATATAAACATTTTAATTGGAATCAAGACGCAGAGCAGATCTTGCTGGGTAATTATAAGATTTTCATTGATAATATTTTGTTTTTCGTAATCATTAATAATACTATTATAAATATTATAATCACAAGATATCAAGGCAGCCACCATTGAAAAAGAGACATTTTGAGTATGCAACGTTTGATTACAGGAAAATAGCAGGTGTTGAAGCACGCACACTGTCTTGAACACTTACAGTCATTCTCTCACGTTCCTCATGTACAAAGGCTAATCTGACCAAGATTTCCATGATGATATGATGATGCAGTTGAATTTCAGGGGGGGGGGCGCATGGCCCTGGAGTTTATCATGATTGCACCAATCGTCAATGACACTTTCACTAATCTTCCCAGACCAGAGAAGGCTGCAGGCACGCTGGCCGAAAAGTTGCCTGCAACAATCCTACCTCTAGATAAAAATGGCACTGTGACCAAATCGCAACTCTGGAGGAATATCAAGAGAATCTGCAACTTGTTTCAAGCACAGGAGGTTACAATTCAGAGCAGGGTTTGTGGCCCTGAAATTGCATTTGGACTCTGATATTAAGAGGAAAGTTGTAAAATAGTTTTTGTTTTGTATAATCACTTTCCTAAATGCTCTGTTTCTCTGATGCTAACCAATTTTAATGATTTTGGGTAGGGGTTTTTGGCCAATCTCATCCTTCATATCCTTTTTCTAAAATTCCTTTTAAAGTTAAATTATCTTCTATTTTGCCTTCTCTTACTCAATTTCTAAATAACTCTTTACTTTCTTCAGAGTTTAATTTGATAAGGTTAATAAAGATATCTCTTTTTGCCTTATTTCTTACCCGTCAATGAATACTTGATTGTTTCCAATAAGGAAAATATTGATAAGCAGCGAGAATTACATTTCCACGAGCTGCTTCAGTAGGATACACCTTACAGAACCATTCTCATTCTTCTTGATTGCAATGAGCTGCTCTCATAATTTCATTAACTACATCTACATCAGGATTATCAGTATAATGTCTCTTACTCAACATAGTAGCTATTCATTCTCTAATTTCATCATTGTTCAACTGTTTAAATTGTGTTTCTTGTTCTTTATCTGCTAATTGCCTCTTTAAATTTTCATTTTCTTCTAATAGTTGTTTATTTCTCTCTTGGAATTCATTTATTGTGTTTACCATGATTTTATTTATATGCTCTTTTAATATACTAATATACTTATATCCTTTTTATGAGGGCATATTAAGTATATAAATTATTTTAGTACTTTTTTACTTTAAAACTAACAATATTTGTCAAAAGATTAAACTTATTAAACTTAATGACAATAATGGGACAAATTAACAAGTGTGATAGAGTAATGAAGGTGTTTTTGTTCTAAATATTTTATTTGTTGCCAGTATAGAATGGTCTTGGACAAGTAATATCTTTGTATTCATCTTTCACAAATGGGCGAATATTATGATAAAGATACTCTTGTCTTTTGTGATCCAAAGGAGGTGGTGTTAACACTAAAATAAATAAAGCTTTAATCTCTTCAAAAATATCTGATTTCTTGGTTTTCAATAAATTGAATTCAGCAAAAGGTCCATTAGCAATTTCCTGAGCTTTGACCATACCAAGATTAGTTGCTTCAAAAAGAAAATGTTGATATTTCTGTATACTTGGTAACTTCTTAAAATAAATTCCCAAAATAGCTTTAATATCTAAGTATTGAAAACCTTTTCCACCTTCATAACACTGTCTTTATTTAATCCAGCTGGACTAGACTTTTTTACCACCTCAACCTCATGATCTAGACAATCTACTCTGGTTTTTCTGTAGAATTCTTTAATCAGTCCAAAACTACCATCACATTTAAATTTAGTATGTCCAGGAATCATGAAGTTTAGTTCAACACTTTCATAATAACCACAAATTACCAAATATAAATAAAACCAAACAGTTACATTATTTTTATTTTGTCCGCCAGCATTATCACAAGTAATCTTTAAATATTTTTCACTTTTATTCAATTTCTTAATTCCATCAAAAATCATACTGAGAGTGCCATTGAGTCCTTTTCCTATAATTTCATTTTCATTAAGAGCATAATTAATTTGCTCCCTTACTGCTTCATCTTGAATACCAAATAAGTGAACTTTGCATGAACTAAGATAATAAATTTTACTTACTTGTTGATCTAAATGTGGTACATGAACATTTTGGGCTCAATCATAACTATAATGAGCAGTAGCATCAATACCACAATATTGTGTTTTACCCTTGGAATAATGTTGATGGTTTGTATTCGCGGATACCGTAAGGAGGTCACACAGGGTCATACAACATTAAAATCAAGTGTTTTTAAGGGATTTTTTGCTGTTTCAATATTGTGTAACCCTCTTAACAGTATTCATGGTATCCACGAATACAAACCCTATTTAGGACATGATTGTTTAGAAATAAAGAGAATTTTATAGATGATAACAAAAGAGTATAATCATATTATTTATTTCAATAATTTGGTATTTAATACTCAATGATAAATATCAAGAGTTAATTTTTGTTTTTCTGCACAAACAACATTCTTTTTAGAAATGGAAGAGTAAAGTAGAAGAACTGGAGAGGGAGATTATTATACTTACAAAAAAATTAAAAAATTCAGAAACTGCAGGTAAAAATCTCATAGCATAAATATTAGATTGGGATCTAATAAATATGCATAAATTAATTTGTTCCATTTATCTATATGTATATTTGAAGAATTGTCTATTATATTTTTCGTAACCTTAACTAACCTGTACCATTTTTTTTTTTGATCCTCTTCCTTTTTTAATTAAATATGTGACCCTGTTCATTCCTCTTCATTTGTTCTGGATATGTTGATTGTTTTGGTTATGAATATATAATATTACTCTAGTTGTGGAAACTTGTATAATTAAATTATCATATTTGAGAAAAATGAAAACTGTTCAAGTAAATATAAATAAGGCAAACAATAAAGACTAGTGCCATAATCCAAAAAAGGAAAAAGTATGGTTGCAAAAGTGGTCGCAAAGGTAATTGCAACCATTTTTTATGTGCCATAAATACAATTACTACCATCATCATAATTTACAGCACTAGTCTTTAGCAAACAAGTATCCAATAAACTACTTTACAGCACTGGGATTGAAACATCTTGAATTTGTTATTAAAACAGAAAAAAATGTGATTCAAATGACAGAAGATACTCAATTAATGAACATCATATCAACCACACCACAAGCACCCATTTTAATTTTTCATACAAGTAAGTAACATTAAATCTGGCATTTTACAGTTTTTGTTATATATTAATGATTGAAAAATCATTTTTTTAGTGGCATGGCCTTTTTCCAGTTATACCTTTCCAGAAGCCTCAAATTTGTTTAACCTTAAAGTAAACAGCATGGGAGAATGTCCAGTTTATCATCAAGGGATGGCAGATTTGGTTGGCATGGATCGTTACATTAATGAAACTGTTTGGGACCTTATGGTAACTTTGATAATTTATTTCTTACTCACTAGATATATTATCTAATTATATGATATTTTATTAGTGTTTACACAGAGCATATGGTGATGTTTCTGGAACAAACAAAGCACTATATTCCGTTTTTATAAGAGCTGTTCTTGTTGGAATCATCCACACCTATAACCCTGCAGACAATTATTTACTTCTTGAACAAAAGGTAATTATGGGAAGTTATGGAATGAGGCCTGTTGATTTTGCAATCAAAAAAGGAAACCAGTTTATTGGTATAACAGAGGCAAAAAAAGAAGCCATTAGCAAGGGTTTTGCACAAAACCTGATCCAGTTGCTTCTTATATGGTCAGTTTTTATATTTTCTTGTAACAATATATTTTTGATGATTCCTTATTATTATGTTTGCATTTATTTATTTATTAGGAAAATCAAAAAAGAAAAGATAATGAGGAAACTGATGGGTTACAAGTTCTATTTGGAATTGATTCCACAGGCTCTCAATGGTTTTTTCATCGTTTAATTCATGAACCTAATAAAAAATATCCAATCGTTCAGAGAAGTTCTCTTTCACCCATCAATCTATCTGTAATTGGTCATGAATTTGATAAAAAAAGGTAAATGAGGAAGTTTCTGCATTATTCAGTTATTTAAAATGGTCTATTGTAAAATAGTAAATTATAAATCACGGGAAACTGATATATAAATCGGAAATGATTTACGAAGTTACACGCAAATAAAAATCGGAAAAACTGATCAAGTGATAACAGTTCAATTTATTCAAACGCCAATAAAATAATTGACTCACGGAAATATTGGAAATATAAATATTCCAACATTCTAAAATTTAACGGATTACAAAGTCTCGGAATAATATTTAAATGAAAGAATTTTACATGACTCATGTTGACTAGAAATTACTTGAAAATAATTCTACATGGAAGGTTTAAATAATGATTAAAGAATACATTAATTAGTATAATTTAGGATTTTAAAGAAATCGGAGAACTAGATGATAGAACCTCTAAAATGTATAAATACGTTGTAAATTTCTCTTTCATGTAATCTTTAGTTTTTTAACTCAAATATTATAATAAATAAACCTTGACCTTGTCCTTATGGTCTTCGAATATTATACTTTCGTAATGATAATAAATCTCCCTAACGACGAATTTATACTATATAATATAATTATTTTCTCTTATTTTATATTTGTCTCTATTAATTTTTTTATTTTTTTATTTCTTTTCTTTTCTTTTAGTGCTTTTAGTGAGATCAGAATTTACACTCTTGTTCATCTCCCTTTGCTATTTCCAGAACTCTATATTCTAATTTCATATTAATCTACTTACTTTTCTGAATGATAAAAGCTTGGAATTTCTCTTTAGTTTTTTCTTTTGCTTTACTTACTAATTGTTTAAACTTTTGGAATCTATTTTCTTTTTGTTGTTTTGGTAAAGCTGGTAATTCTTTGTTTGCTAAATTATCTCTTCAGTTTATTTCCTGATTTTAGTTGACAAATTATTTTCCAACAAATCTATTCGGTCTAAGAGTTTGCCCATTGCAGCATCATGTTTTAGTATCACTTCATTCATTTGGCATTTTCTCCACTTCATAGCTGTGTTTAATGCTTTTTCAGCTTCCTCTTGCTCCATTTCCACTTCATCTTCCAACTCTTCTACTTTCATTTCCAGTTCTTTTTGCTTTGCTTCTAATTCAGCAACTTTTTCTTCTAAAACAGCATTCTTTTCTTTTAATTCCTTTTTTTCTTGGTAAGTAAAACCAAAAGCTTCTTCATAATTTAATGCTTCACTACCAAAACTTTTAACAAAATTTTCAGGAGTGAATCCATCACTGAAAACAACTCTTCCAATTTCAATTCCATTCTTTTTTGGATGACTTACTCAACCATTGTTAGGTCAAGTAAATCTTTCTAAGGTACTTAAACTTGTTCCAATATTCTGAACTTTCAGTAAGGCTGTGAACAGTATTTCAAATTCTTAATTTAAAGTTTTCTTCTTTTTCAGCTGATTGTTTCTTCAATAATTCTATTTCATTTATTAGTGTTTTGTTTGCTTGTTGTTGTTTGTTTATAATGTTTACCATGGTTTTTTTTTTTTATATATTCTTTTAATATGCTTATATCCTTTTTATAAGGTGTATTAAGTATATAAATTATTTTAGTACTTTTTTACTTTAAAAGCAGAAAAAGATTAAACTTAATGGCAGCAAGAGACAAATTAATGAGTGATAAAATCATGGAAGTGATTTTATTCGTTTCCAGTATAGATTGGTCTTGGGCAAGTAATATCTTTGTATTCATCTTTCACAAATGGCCAAATATTCTGGTAAAGATATTCTTGTCTTTTGTAATCCAAAGAAGGTGTTAACACTAAAATATATAAAGTTCTAATTTCTTCAAAAATATCTGCTTTCTTGGTTTCAATAAATTGAATTCAGTAAAAGGTCCATTAACAGCTTCTTGAACTTTGACCACACCAAGATTAGTTGCTTCAAAAAGAAAATGTTGATATTTCTGGATACCTGGTAATTTTTTAAAATAAATTCCCAAAATTGCTTTAATGTCTAAATATTGAAAACCTTTTCCACCTTCATAACATTGAGCTTTATTTAATCCTGCTGGACTAGACTTATTTACCACTGCAACCGCATGATCCCGACAATCTACTCCTGTTCTTCTATAGAATTTTTAATAATGCTAAAACTACCATCACATTTAAATTTGGTATGTCCTAGAGCCATGAAATTCAATTCAATACTTTCATAATAACCACAAATTACCAAATATAAATAAAATCAAATAGTAGTATTATTTTTATTTTGTCCACCAGCATTATCACAAGTAATCTTTAAATGTTTTTCACCTTTATTCAATTTCTTAATTCCATCAAAAATCATACTAAGAGTTCCATTAGGACCTTTCCTATAATTTCATCTTCATTAAGAACATAATTAATTTATTCTCTTGTTGCTTCATATTGAATACCAAATAAATGAACTTTACATAGACTAAGGTAATAGATTTTACTTACTTGTTGATCTAAATGTGGTACATAAACATTTTGGGCTCAATCATAACTATAATGAGTAGTAGCATTAATACTGCAATATGGTGTTTTACCCTTTGAATAATTTTGGTTAACTAATTTCTTTGCTCTTCTTCCAATTTGGTATTTTTATTATAATAATTTCTTTCTAATCTTGCTTTAGACAGATGTTCTTTAAATCTTTTGAGTAAATCTTTAGCTTCTTCTTCTTGGCGAGCATTAGTGTAAACCATCTCTAAAATGTTGACAAGTATCACACAAATCAGTTCTTGGACTCATAATTTGAATTTCTGGTGTCAATTGATGTCATAACTTTCTGAAAGAATCATACTTCAAGGACTTTAAATTACTATCTTCTTCTAAACCAGCCAGAAAATTTCTGTGCACAGATTTATAACTCATTTCAGCTGGTAAAAATGTAACTGATTGAGTTATTCTATTGTTACTTCTTCCTGGACTTGGTAATCCATGAACTTCTGCATAATTTTCAAGGAAGTTTTTACTACTTTAGCAATATTTTTATCAATTACCATTTTGGTTTTTCATTGAGACGTCTTCTTTTATATGTCATGAACTCTTGATATAAGTCCATTGTTTATTAGATGATTTCTGATATTTTCAAATAAGTTCTGCCAATCCCCAACATATTGAGATAAGTTTCTTGACAAAGTAGTGTATTATGATCCCAGTGATAGAAAGTCCTTTTATTAAACCCAGTTTTCTTTTTAAGGCGTCTACTAGTGCTTGTTAATCCACCATCCATTGCCTTAAGTTGGGCCATTAAAAATATGTCTTGTTCTACTTTAGAAAGGGCTTGAAAGGATTCCCTTAATTCTGCAAATTCTTCCTTAGGAATTCTTGAAGAACAACTACATTTACATACTTTTTCCAAAAAAATCGATTGCTTTTTGATATTCATTAGAACCATTGCATTTATTACCTTTGTGAATATTTTTCATATACACTTATCCCTATATATATAATTTTATGTCCACTTTGTAATTTTTTTTAAAATTATTCAAAATCAAAATCATGTGAAGCAAGCTTTGCATTATGTATTGAGAAGAAATTTTATTGTGGGCATGATTTCATAATTCCATCAAATTTGAAATAAAAATAATATGTAAAATGGAGAGTTCTTATTTTAGAGAAATAATGATAGAAATATTTGTCATAAATTTATTTTTTTGTTGCCTAAAAACATATATCATTTAATTGAATCAACAAATAATTATCACATGAAAAGATAAATTATGTTGAAATATCTTCACAATTTACATAATCATTTACAAGGATATCAACGCATTTCTGTTAAATGCAAATATTCAATTAAGTTAATCAAGTTTCAGGTAATAATAATATGACATATCTAAAAAAAAAATGCAAACTTCCAATTTGATGAAATGTTTGAAATTAAAGTCTATCAATGGCATGGTTGATACATCAGTTGCTAGTTTACTTGTAATTAAGCTCCATGATACATATAAACCTCCATTTTGTAAATTCATTACATAAGTTTTCAATAATTCTCCTGTAATTCCGATTTAAAGATTAGTAAGAAAATAATAAGTTGTAAATTATATATAAAAATGCTAACCTGCATTAACTAACATCATTACTTGTCCTGGACCTCCTTTTTTATTTAATTGCTGGTTTAATGCATTTTTACCTCTTAGATGTATCTTTCTAAAATCCATTTGTTTTAATAAAGGACTAGTTCCAATAGGTTTAATTTCTGACAATAAAAAGGGAACATCATTTATAACACATGAAAAGTCAGGTCTTTGAGATGTTCCCAACACACTGCGATTAAATCTGACTTCATATTTCTTGTGTGCAGTAAAGATATTATTGATGTGAATTTTTAATAATCTATTGCAATGTTCATCTTCGGACATTTTAATTGAAGAAATTGTAGGTAGTGTCTCACATAATCCATTAAAAATTTGTGCTGCAGATCTGCACATTTGGTCTTCACCTGCATTGATATAACTATCCTGGTTCATTAAATGTCTTTTCATTGCATTGTGAAGAATATTCGATGCAACATTTGGAACAATTGGTTCTTGAATATAAAATGGGTTGTTCTTAAGTATTATACACCCATTCATCATCACTAACCCTACAAAAAGTTTAGGTGCTTAAAATGTATTTAAATCATGCTTAAAATCTACTTGAAGGTGCTTAAAATGTGCTTAAAACATACCTTTTTTAATAATGAACAAAATTAAGTATGTTTTAAGTAACCTTTTAAGTGTATTTTAAGTGTATTTCAAGTATGCTAGTTTACCATCAAAAGTATGTTTTAAGTATATTTTAAGTATATAGTATATTTTAAGTGTGTTTTGAGTATAATTTCATATACTTAAAACATACTTAAATCTCACTTAAAATGTTCTTGTTCTCTTCCATTGGTATATTTTAAGTATATGATGTATATTTTAAGTGCATTTTAAGTATCTAAACTTTATGTAGGGTAAATGGACAAGGTTTACAAACTACAAATACTGAATTCAATGCTAAGACTTCATAGATATCATTCCAACTTAAACCATCATTTTTAAATTTTTTAATAACCAATTCCTGATAATTTCTAAATCTTTGCGAAATATTGATTGTACCATCAACTATCCATTCTTGAGTTGATTCCTGATTTAAGTTTTCAATTAATGAACTGATTTCAATATCATTTATTTCATTGAACTGTGATCTTTTTTTTCTTTTTTTTTTTGAATTGCCTTGATTGGTAATATCTTTAAGGGCAGGTTGTTCTCCTCCCTTTTGATTTCTTTTTTTAATTTCCTTTGTTCTTGGTTGGATTATTTTTTTAAAAAAATGAATGTTAATTAATTGAACTAGAGTGACGAGTGGTGGCGATAACCACCACCATTCTCTCGGCTGTCTTGTTGTTTTCGTTTATTTTGTTCTTTAGGCATTTTTTTATAAAAATTTTTTTAAAAAAGATTGTTGATCGATCGACCACGCGACCCAATGAAAAGCACAGGGGACAGGCGAATTTTGCAGATCCCTGTCCCCTGTACTTTTCATTGGACCGTTAAAGAATATAGGCTAATATTTTCTAAGGATGAAAAAGATTTTTTTATATATTAATATATAGTTGGGGAATTTCTCGCAAATGGGGTGCAACAAGCAGAAAGGAACCCATTGGTACTTTATTGATTTTGAGTTAAAGTCACGCCTATATGAAATCTGCCTCGGTGAACATTGTTAACTTAGAAACCATACCCACTTAGCTTAATAGACTTTCCTTTAAAGTTGTAAAAACACTCTAGTCAAATGCAGATCCCTTTCTGCTTGTCGCATCCCAAAACTTTTAGGAATTTGAATCAATTGACGGATTTGAAACATTGGTTGAAGTATGTCCTTGGAGAACGTGGTGAAAATGTAAATAAATAAATTAGTTTGTGTGATAAACATTTTATTAATGTAATTAATAAAAACAAATGAATGTTATATATGTGTGTATAATTTGAAGTATATAATAATGTCTAATGCTTTTTAGGCATAAATAATAATTATAATTATGTATAAATAAACAAAACGGAGGGAAAAGTGGGGCTTATGTGCAATGATTGTAGAAAATAATTTCACAAACCAATTAATTATAATCGAGAATTTAAAGTTGGTAGCTCGCTCACTTAGATATTTGTACTGTGACAAACGCATCTAGTATTCACTGGTCAAAAATTTTGATTTTGACAGGAAATTGATTCATTCTACAAATTTAGAAAAATTAGTTAAAGGAATTAATTAATATTAATATTCTTCATACAATAACCGCGTTTATTGAACAAATTCTTTCGTGTAACAATATGAAAATTATTTAAACACGTAAAGATCTTGTAGAATTTTATTACTTTTACTTGGATTGACGAAAATGATACTGTTGTTTCTTATATTTGGCGTGATCTACATTTTATTTATCATACAGCAAATGTTTGATTTCTTAATAATTGTGAGTGACAGAGCACAATGATGCACATTTGGGGCATACTGCAATAAAATGAACATTTTAATTTGTATGGTGCGGGTTACCCTAACACATCAAATAACTTTAAATCTAAAATAGAGAAATATTATGCTTGTCTAAAAAAAAATTAGAGATGATATTGATAGCTATTGACTCGTTCTAGAACCTATTGTTGAGAAAATTTTATATGTAACATATAAAAACACCTATCTAGCTTTAAAGTTGATCAATTTTTATTTAATGTGTTAATGTGACTCACTATACTACCAAAAATTTCAGAGTTCAAATGAATTTCATTCTAATATAAATTTCTTATTATTATGTGCAATGTTGTAGTTTCAAATGTTTATGTGTCATTAAACAATATAATCGTATCAACCAATAAACCTATCAATCCATATCTAACATTCTGACATAAATTATGAATTTTCTTTTATGAAATAGCTGTGTTTCTAGATCCTAAATCAAGACTAATCTGATTCATTCAAAGAAATGTGTTCCTTTTTGCATGTGAGTCTGTATATATAAATTATTTAAAGCAGAATCTATATATTCTGATATTACTCTAAAAGATGACTATTCTAATATAAATTTCATTGTTATGCAATATCTTATATACTAAAGTCTATTTAAGTTCATTTACATATTTATATAATTTTAATTTTTAATTTTTAAATCAGAATTTTTTCCATTAAAACTGGAATCAGGATGATGCAAATGACTGCATTTTTTACCAAAATCATAGAGTACATTTTCAATAACTTTCCATGCCTTCAAATGCCAATTGGAAGTTACTCACGCTATTAAATATTCCACATAGAACCTTTTTTGCTCTCTTACATGTGAGCAATTTAATGGTTTCCAGCACAGAGGTAGATTAGTAGATTGGTTGAAACAGACCAAGCTCCTCATTTTAGAATTTTTCGTATGCTTCGTCATCAACATACTCTCCACACTCTCACTCTCGTCTACGATCTAAGCTGATAAAATTTTCCCGTTTGTTTCACAGAAGTTTGATTATAATTGGACATGTGACATTTATAAAAAAAACTTTTTTTCATCATTTTAAATATAAAAGAAGGTATGTATTATTGAACTTTATTTATTCATTGATCTCAGTTAGTTTATTCTATTAATTATTTAATCCTTTATTGTTCTAAATATTCGTTCATTATTAATTCTAGATCTCTCTGATTTAGTTTTTTTTTTTTGAAAATGGCACAAGTACAAGCTGTTCAAACCTATGGTCGTAAGGTTTGTAATAATAATTGATACAGTGACAAGAGCAACATCAAATAATTTAATTAAAATTTATTAAATTATAAAATTTCTAATTTACCTTCATCATTTCATTTGTTTTTAGAGAACTGCAACTGCGGTGGCACATTGTAAAGCCGGCAAAGGTTTAATCAAGATCAATGGATCACCATTACATTTAGTTGAACCAGAAATTTTGAGATTCAAAGTCTATGAACCAATTCTAATCCTAGGTCAAGATAAATTTGCTAAAGTTGATATTAGAGTACGTGTAAAAGGTGGTGGTCATACCTCACAAATCTATGCGATTCGTCAAGCTATTGCAAAATCTATTGTAGCATATTATCAAAAGTATGTTGACGAGGCTCAAAAAAAAGAGATTAAAAATACTTTGATTCAGTATGACAGAAGCTTGTTGGTATCTGATCCTCGTCGTTGTGAACCTAAAAAGTTTGGTGGTGTTGGTGCTCGTGCAAGGTTTGTATTATATTTTTATGATGAATTTTAAAATTATTGCACACATGCACATATATATCTATATTATTTTTATATTAATTTATAATATCTTCTTTAGATACCAAAAATCTTACCGTAAATATATTATAATTGTTATTGTTGTTATTATTTTCTAAATATTAACTAATATTTTCTTCTTTCCCCTTCTCATATAAATAGGTTAATTTTTATATATTATGAGAAGGAATTAATCATAGAATTAAAAAATAATAACAATAATAATATTTATGAATTAATATCTACATATATAAATTATTTTTATTAATTCAAGTGAATTTCATTATACCAGCCAAAAATATGTATGTTGCCACGTGAAGTCTATTGATAACCGGATAATCTGTTATTGCACTTTTGATCAATTATTGCAGTTATTGCCTTCTTCAATATGTACAAATAAATATATCCTCAAACCAACAATATAATTCTTTTATTTGCGCTTCATGTGATGTTTAGAAGGCCTATTGCCTAACTTTCAATTTTCATCAATATAATAGATTAAAGATATCCTTGGAAAAATTTTAATGGAAAATTTAGTGTAAAAGCATACAGTCAAAGCTTGTTATGGACACTTGATTCCAGGAATTTTTGTCCACTATAACGAATTTCCACTATAAAGAAAAATCTCTTTATAGTGGACTTATTATAAATAAATTGAAAAGTCCCTTATAACGAGATCAAATTTTATTAATGTACAACACATATATACGTAGTAAATAAAAACTGTCCAACATAAGTTGTTTTGCATTATCCTGAACACGTTTATGAATTTTTAATTTTAAACTATTAATCATTTTTAATTCTTGATAGCTAATTGTAAAGTTATATGGTGGATTTTTTAAATATTGAATCACTTTTTCTAAACTATTTAATGCCTCTTTATCAGAAATAACCATCATTTCTACTTCTTCCACTTCATCAGAATCATCAACCTTGGGATTTGGTTCCTAATAATTTCTTCATCATTAAAAAAGAGGATAACGTACAAAAATTAATTTATTGTTAAAAAAATTAACCAAGACAGAATACTTTATTACCGCCATCAAAAAAGGATAATGCACAAATAATTTTGTTAACACATTGATTGCCGTTTAGAAACCACATTAACATTAACCATTAATGTAAAAGATTGCATGATTTCCACTATAACGAACTATATCAAAATTTTTAAAAGTCCATTATACACAATAAAGAGGTTTTATTAAAAAGTCCACTATAACGAGCAAATTTTATTATAAAGAGAATTGGGGAAATAAAAAAAGTCCACTATAGGCAAAATCCACTATAACGAGATCCACTATAACGAGCTTTGATTGTATGTCGTTCGTTTATAATAAATTTATCTTGATATTAATATAACGGATAATGATGACCTTTGCTCTTTTTGGCTATTATAATTTTAATAAGATAATCACACATAATAACGCACGATTAATAAATGTATTATTATTATTATTAGATATAATGTATTATTGTATAATAATGTATTATAATTAATGCATAATAACGTATGTTAACTAATGTATATAAGAGATGTGTAAATAAACAACATCATAATTTATAATTAATTTTCTTGATACACATGTAAAACTCAATAAGTCGTTCATTTATTTATATTTATCAAGCATTTAAACAATTGATTGCTGTGCCCGACTTATCAAGTTTACATGTGTATTATTTTTTCGTATTTTATTTTTAATGCGGGCCATGCATGTCAAAAGATTAAAAAGTGAAATTTCTTACAAGAATTCTCAATAAATACGAACAAGGATAGAAGATTATTGTAATGATAACAACGCTAGCACTTTAAACGAATGAATGTATCAGACAGAATGTTATATTTTTATTTTTAGTGCAACATATCACATGATTTAATCCGATCATGAAATTCAAAAAATTTTGCTGATGATTTTTAAATTTATCTTAGTTACATGACTTTGTGTCACTAAATGAACTTTGTATTTGATAAAATGCAAGTTTGAATATCCCTGAAGAGAATATTGTCTATGAGGTTCCAGAAGATGATAAAATCATCAAAGAACTTGCAGAAATATAAAAAATAAAATGAATGTACCTGCTGACAATTCTGAGAAGATGACAATAAGCCTTGAGGAAGCATTAAAGGTCTTGAAACTATACATGTATTTTTATTGCAGCAAGAAAATGCCAGCAAACAAATAAAATTGGTTAATAAAATTGAAAGATATATCAATGTAAATTCATCAAAACAACCACAATGGATAGTTATTTTAGTATTACTGTATTTAAAATATTGCGTATCATGTGCAACCAATGAAATCGCTTCTCTCTATAAATGCCCAAGGGAGTGCATTTATGGTAAAGACTAGTGCCGTAATCCAAAAAAAGGAAAAAGTATGGTTGCAAAAGTGGTCGCAAAGGTAATTGCAACCACTTTTTATATGTCGTGAATACAATTACTACCATCATCATAATTTACGGCACTAGTCTTTAATTTATGGAGGTCAGGTTAGTAAAATTGACGAAATCTGCTCAATTGACACACAATTACACTGCATCTAAGTTCTCCAAGAAAAAAATTTTTTCATGATTTTTTTTATTTGGTAGAATAAATCTCAAAGATTTCAAAAAATGTACTATAACTTTTTGTTTTTCTAACTTTTTTATATTGGGCATCTCCAGATTCCAAGAATTTTACATATAAAATTGAAATATTTAAAAAATTGAGAAACTTATTTATTTGTACTAAACACATAGAATATGGGTTTTTATTACGAAAAAACCTTTTAAACAATAAATTTTCTGCCTAAAACTCGAGTTTTTTTATATTTAATATAAATATGTCGGTCATTGCCTTTTTATTCTTTTTATTAAAGCTCTTATTATTTGTTATACTAGAATAAATATAACCTTTTGGGAATAAAAAAATTATTATAATTATGTTTTATGTGTGTGTTGATGTGCGTTGTGGTTTTAATTATAGGGAGGCGTGAGATTCTACGTATTTTGAGGGAAAATTTTATAAATTAACGAATTAATTATTCAAAATTTTGATTTAACGATATCTCGATTTAGCGGATAATTTTCCTTGGTACAAACATGTCCGTTAAATCAAGACACTGTAATATTTTGAATCATATAAATAGAATAACAATATTTATTAAAAAATAATTTGAAATAAAATATAATATTTTTCTTGTAAATTAAAATTCACAATAACCGTTAGAATCTTTCACTATATATTAATTATTAAACATATTCTAATTATTTAATTATTACAAAATAATTAAAATAAATTTAATTTCTATTGCTATTGGAAGATTACATAAATAATAAAATTAAAGAAAAAAATATTGTAATTGATGATGTAAAATTTTTTTTAAAAGTATAATTAACATTTAGCCGGATCTCCACAATTGCCTACGCAACGACAAACTTTTTCTCCAGCGATGTTACATGGACAACATTGACCTTTGCCAAAATGGCCTTGAGCTGCACAACTAGCTTTACAAGCGACTCTACCACCGGGGACGTTACAAGAAACACGTTTATTTAAAACATGACCTTCATTAATGTTACCAGTTGGTGTTGCTGAAGTAATAGCAATGATAAAAAGATAAAAGGTAAGAAAAAAGAGAATAAATTTCATTTTGATTTTTTAAGGTTATATAGAAGATTAAGTATATATGTTTGTGTTTCTAGTTTTTAGAAAATAATTTATTGTTATTATTTGTATTTTTGTATTTTTGTATTTTTGAATTAGAAAAAAAATCGAGTGGAATTGATGTATTTATAAAAAAATTCATTTCTTTCTTTTCTTTCTTAGTATATTAGGAAATCAAGATAAGCTTACTATTTTTTTATATCAGAAAACAAAAGGTTATTTTTCAGTTAATATTTAATATTAAATTTGCATAAATTTTTAGCCACAATAACAATACATTATAACACTTGTTTTAACGGATTATAACAATAATTAAATTCGCATTTCAACGGATTTTACGAATTTTAAAAATCTTTTGTTACACATTGAAACGCGATTTATACTGTACATATAGCATGATGCGCCGATTTTTTTACAATTATTAATATCAATTATGTTTTAATACATGAAAATTATAAGCTATCCTCTAAACGGTCAAATCTATTTCCTTAAATTTTTTAGTGCAATAGCGCAGCGATGGTCAACATTTTACAAATCAATGATGAATGCCAATCTAAGACAATTCTTTTCTTTTCCGAGATGCTTGCATGATTATCCAAAATAATTATCCCAAAATGTTTCATCAATTTCTTATCCTATCGTATCTTATTATATGAAATTGTAAAAGAATAAAAAAGCATAATTTATTCATTAACAGGTCAAAAATATCCGCCCACGAGAACATTTGACATGTGAACTTCCCATATTGAAGGGACTTACTGCTTTTGTTGAAAATGAGTCATAATGAAATAGATTTTTTTTGTTTTAATATGTTTGAAATTTGTGGTGTAGTCGCCATTTTGGAAAAATAAGGAATTTACTAGCCCTACCGATCTTATATGTATCTATATAAAAAGCTCCCTGGTTGATAAATGATTTGCGAATTAATAGTATTCATTTATTAATTTCTATCTTCGCGTTAGTATTATGCAACATGAAAATCAAATATTATTATAATTTCCTTTTTGTATTAACAGACAATTAAATTTAAACAATAGTGGTTTTTGAAATTCATATATTCATTTTCTTGATTTAGCGGATTTAGCGGATTTTCCATATACTGTACATTCGATTTACTGGATGTTTCTATTAATATTAATATTAATATACATATGTAAACTCGATAAGTCGGTTTTGGCCAAAAAGTTTCGCCCCTTTTTTTTACTATATATTTAAAAAAATTCGATAAGTTGGTCGATCTATATAAAGTCGCGACAAGCGCTAAGTATAATTAAATGAATCACTATAAGTCGGTTTCACGTGATATTTCATTATGTGATTTAATAATTTTTTGTTCATAATATTTCATCATTAGCAAAATGATAAAATATCTGATGTAAAAAAACCATCATTTAGAAGGAAGAGATCATTCTCAATTGCGAACTACATTCATATTTTATTATCTCCATCAGTTATAATGCGTAATCATACATCCATTTTTTCTTGTCAAGTGACCTCTTACGTCTTACCAATGATATAGTAGATAGAAAAATATATAAATGGGTACTTACTATTGTAGATATCGTCAATAGATTTAAATATGCCATTCCACTCACTTCTAAAAATAGTTCAGAAGTTGCTAAAGCCTTTAAGAAAATTTAAGAAAATCCAAATATTCCTCTTACTTGGCCTCGACTACTGCAATGTGATGGGGGGTGTGAGTTCATGGGCGAAACTTCAAGATTAATGCAAAAACAATGTGTTACAATCTGAGTAATTGGTCTATATTCCCATCGAGGACTCGCAATCGTTAGGGATTGGAACGGTTTAACCCAAACTGGTTCAACCGGCGGTTTGAAACCGAACCGATGCGGTTTGGTTTACACATTTCAAACCGCGGTTTATTGATCCGGTTAAACCCCAGTTCAAACTCCGATTCTTGAAACTGAGCTGTTTACACGTTACATTTCAAAGATTGGTCACACTTGTTCGTTTTATATCTTTTTATTCGTTTTATAAAATATAAAATGTAAAATTATAAATAAGGTCTTATTTCTTTTAACAAGATAATTAATTACACTTATAATCTACCATGCTCACTAGTACTACGACTTAAGAAAGAAAAGAAAGATGTCAGCTACTACTATTTACTATTATTATCATTATATACAAGGGCTAAGAAGAAAAAATATATTGATAAAGAAAAAATATTTTAATTGAATTGGATTTATCAATTTTATTCAATCATTCATTTTGTTAATTCTATTTTATTTGATTTATCAATTTTATTCAAATTACATATTAGTTTATTTAAAAATCTTACTAACTGATCCTGTGGTCCTAAATTTTGAATTGGATCTGACAATAAAATTTAACTATGTTTATTTTTTTATTGTTCATAAAAGAAAATTATGAATTTTTAATATTCCATGAATCTCACTTGTAATGCTGTAAATATAGTACATGCAATAAAAAGTCTTTTAGAAGAATTAGATTTATCATCAAAAATATTGAGCATAATAACTGACAGTGCAGCAGCAATTGGTAATGTTGTGCATGAAAATTAATTAAATTTTGGGGTGGGTTACAATATTCCAATTGGCTAATTTGAGTGTGACTTTCAAATAATTTGGAGGGGAAATAAAAAATGAGTGTTTTTACAAATAATGGTTATACCATTGTGGTTCCCACATATTCAATATTGCTGTATGGTATGGATTGCAAGTTCATGATGAGACAGTCACTAAAGTGCATAATTTATGAAGGAGGTCGTAATTCTATAATCTTATGGGGGATTTTAACAGATATTTCAATCACAATTAATTGAATTATTGTGCTACAACTTGATATAGAGATCAGGTGGAACTCCAGCTATTTGATGCAAACAATTTAAAGTACAAGCAAATATGAAGAGAATAGATAGTAGTGGTGTTTAAAATAGCCTTAATTGTTGGAACAAATTTTTCATTTTTATAAAAATAGATCACCAATAAAATTATAAAACTGCAGTTAAGTTTGGGTTTGAACTGCAGTTCAAACTGTGGTGGTAAACTGCCAGTCAGTGCAATTCACTAGCCAAACTGGCAGTTTATAAACCAAACCAAACCATTCCCATCCCTACATTCAACTCAGCTTTAAAAAGGAATTGATTTATAACATAAAAAAAATTTAGTCTCATTTTTAGTCAAAGATCTTTCTTAATTTGGAAAATAATAAATTTAAAAGTTTCAAAGATTTATTTAAGATAAAAAACAAACAAGAAATTAGATTTAAATAAAAGAATAGTTAAATTTTAATTTCATCATACACAGAATCAGGAACTCTCCTGTGATGATCTATACTTTTTCGCTGCAAACTCAGCTAATCTTCCTGAAATTCCCTTTCTATAAACATCCATATATCTCCAGCTTTTTTGTGCATAACGATGAATTGTTGTTAAGGATACTGAATTTAATGCTTCTGGTACAACTATTTGTAAACTTGACCACTTATAATCACAATTTTTCTTTGCAGCTCCCCAAAACATTAGATATAAGTATTACAATAAAGAAAGAAATTTTCTGTATTTCGAATGAGTTTTTTACACCACTGGTATTTTTAATCCATTAAGTCTTTCCATAAATTGACACTAAAATATACAGTCGTACTATAAATAGATGCTTAATTTGAAAGTCCGAACTTTTAAGTCAAATTCACTTTATATAATTGGCTTTTTATGTAAAAAAAAAAGTTATTAGTTAATTTATTAACTTTACAAATAGTGATGGTATATTTCCTAAATAGTAAAGATAAATAACTTCTAATTGGCTAATAATTTATTCACGCGATTTAAAAATAATAGAGTGTTTCATGAATAAGTGTTCCGGTGCTCACTGGAACAGAAACTTAACAACTATGGTCGCAACATTTTACATACAATCAATTACTTTGGCAAAATAGTGACTCAAATTTTAATTAATTTGTCAAAACTTTTTTTAATTTTTTTTTCTCAAAAAGTATAGAGCTCTTCCTTTATTTTTTAAAGTCTTTAATTACTCTTTTATGGAAATATTATCCAAATTCAAATTTTTTAGTTTTTCTTGTGCTACCTGGATTTTACTTGTTGCTTCTTCAATAAGTTCCATCCTAATAAAGTACATGATTAATTGATTGATTGATATTGATTACCACAAAAAAAAAATATCAAGATTTATTCTTACTCTTTGTCTAAAGCAGTCTCAACTTTGTGTAATTGACTTCCGGTAAGTAAATGAATTTGATTAGAATTAGAATGATTTGATTTTGACTTTGGCTGATTGTATTTAGACAGTTTTGAGTGCCGTAATTGTATCTTTAAATATATAAAAGTTTTTTTTTTTTAAAAAACAATTATGATTAAATATATTATATTATATATATATATATATTATATAAAACAAATTTACCTGTTTTACTTTAGCTTTTAAACCATTTTCATCATTTAAATCTTCTTGAACTCGATTTAACATATCAAAATACTCATTTTCAAATTCTCCGAGAATTGGATTTGATTGAATTATTCTTTTTTGAAGAATTTGATTGGCTTTACTTTCTAAAAAAGAATGTTTTTGTTTGATTTTATTTACACGATCATCCAATTCTGAATTAAGATGTTTATTCTCTTCCATGGTATTTTTAAGATCCTGTAAAAGATCTGCTTGATGTTTTATCATTTGAAATTGTAATTTTATTCTTAAAATAAAAATAACTCAAGCCAGTTAATTATATTACATGTGTATAAGGGAATATATAAATCAATATAAATACCTATTAATTAATATGTGAGCAGAAGATTTAATTGGTATTATTTCATTAACAATTGTTAACGAAATTCCTCTTATCAATTCACTATTAACCCTATCAAATTCTTTGGATGATTGTTTATTGCCAATTTGTGACAAAAGAATTGGTTGACAAGTTAATCCTTGAGAAGTTAGAACTTCTTGTAGTTTGATTGGAAACTCTAGTTTATCTGTTTCGGGAAATCCCATACTTTTCAAACGAGTAACATCATCAATTGACAATTTAATTGGTGTAGTTCTACTCTCTAAAGGAAATCCTTTTAGTTGCAGTGTGGAAGTTAATATCAGAACCAAATATCCTAGATGAGCATTATCAACTATCACTAAACCTATTAAAGGATCTGGATTACTATTAAACATAATTTATAAGTTAAAAATAATTAAATAATATTTTTATATATATATAAATAAATATATATAAAGTTACCTAGGAATCACACAAGCAATCCAACTAACTTCTGATTTTTTTTGATTTTTAAAAAATTGTCCCATCGCTGAACTATTACTATTACTATTATCATCATCCTTACTACTACTACTACTATCACCATTATTATTATTTTTATTATCATCATTAATAGTATCTGTGATAATTTCTTCCAAATCCTTTAACCAATTACCAAGTCGAATTGCATGAACACCTGCAAAATTACACACATAAAACATGTCTTTGTATTGAGGGTCTTCTAATAGAACTGGATGATTTAATGAAGTTGTAATTTTACTTGAGAAGGGACTATTTGAAGTTGGTGTAACAAAACTTTTAATAAATCCTAAATCAATGCTTTCATATAATAAAAGAACAGGAGAGTCAATGAATTCGTTTAATCCCTAATAAAATAAATAAATAAATCATTTATATTTGTATATAATAATTATAATAATAAAATTATTAATATTATAAAAATTATTGATTATATATATATTTATTTCCAACAAACGATAAAATAACAATGTACCTGAATTTTCCAAAATGCTTCAATTTTATCAACTTCAAGAAAGATATCTAATCTACCATTACTAGAAGCTATAACAATTACACTAGTGGGTTGAGTATTCAAATAGATTATGTCACTAGCATCAAAAGGATGATGTGATAATTCCAAAGGATTTGGTCTCATTGAAAATGGTCCTTGCAACAATAAATCATTTTGAATATTTGCAGGAGAAGAAAATTCTACCTTGAATGATGATGGTGGTGATGGTGATGGAAGTTTACTAATTTGTTGAGACACATCACAAATCCATCTGTATTGCAAATGATATTGATTATACAAATAATCATACATATGAAGATTTGAATTAGATGGTAAATGTTTTTCAGCCTCTTGATATTTTTTAAAAATTATGCAACTTAGTTGCTCGATAAATATTCTACTATTAAAGCTTTAATTCATTAAATTATTAAAAGTTAATAATTAGATTTAATGTAATAATATTTTGTAAAAGAAAAATAAATTTTTTTACCAATTTTTTGGTACTATTGGACACATTGCATAAACATCTCCGTTATCAAATAAAACATATACAGTAAAATTAGACCAGCCTTTATTACCTTGACCAAAACAAAAAGAAACTGCTTTTGGTATTTCAGCACCAAAAGAAAAAGTTTTTTCTGGATTTTCACTGAAACAAAATTTCTGTTCTGGCTCATTACAATCATTAGATATATTGTACATCCTATCATTTCACAGATAAATAAGTATAAGTAAAAATTTTGTTTTGTTTATAATAAGAATTATATAAATAAATCTAATATATTGCCTTAATATTGCATCTTCAGTCAAAACCAATAAATGAGGTATTCTAGTTAGTGGATGCCATAATATCTTTGAAATAGGACTTGATCCTTCCATATGATGAAAAGATCCAATTGGATATGTTCTATTTATTTTGATAATTATTTTATAAATATTAAATTAATCTTTTCATTTATATCAATAAATAATATGTAAAAATTCTTACACACAATCAACTTTTTTTTCTGATGCTGATAAATTAAATTTAACTAATGGTAAGCGAACTACTGCCAATTCGTAATCACCAGCAACCGAAATCACATTCCCTTTTTCTTTAAAATTTACTATTAAAGATCTAATTTTAAATTTAATTTTTGGTGTATTAAGTACTATATATTTAACATTCAACATCCATTTTGGTACATGATGATGACTATCATTATCGTCATCATTGTCATGATTACTGTCATCACTTTCAGACATTTCATGCAGTTCATCATTTTCATTTGCATATTGCCAAGCATCTTTAAACTCCAATAAATTTAATATTCTTATTTCGGATCCTACAGCTAATATAAGATTATTTCCCTCAATAGCTATACATGTTTGTTTTCTTTTTGGTTTTCCATAATTCTCCAATCCTATTGCTTTTTATGTTTGATTAGAGAGATGATTTTTTTTTAAAAAATTTTATAAGTAGCTATATTTGTTTAGAGACAAGCTTATTTATTGATTGTACTTACTATCTCCTGATAATTTTACACTGTCGGAATAAAAAACCGGATGATCACTAACATATTCTAACCAACTTGAATTATCCATAATTTTAATTATTGTGGTTTGCAAAATAGTTGATTTTTGCAGATCCGTGTTACCCATAATTTTTTTTTACAAAATTCTCTTGTCGCGAAAGATAAATATTATAAAACTCTTAATTTTAATATTTTTTAATTCAGTTTTTTTATGAACTTTCCCTAATTAAACTTTATAATATAATCTATAGAAATCTCAAATGTGGTTGAATATAAAATATTTAATGAAAATTAAGAAAAATTATATATATATATTTTATTTTCAATTGAAATTTTTTGAAATTTCATTGATCCCTTCCCAAAACTACCTATTTTTTGTGAACTTTTCCTAATTAGTATATACAATAAAATATAAAGTGTGGTTAAATGTAAAATATTTAGTGAAAAGTGAGGAAAACCATGTATTTATTGTTCCTTTTCAATTGAAATTTTTTGAAATTTCCCAAAATTAGCAACACTATTTCTAATTTTTTTTGTGAACTCTCTTTAATTAGCACCTATAACATATTATATCAAAATTTCAAGTGTGGTTAAATATAAAACATAGTAAGAAAAGACTGATGATAATGTTTTCCCAATGAAATCTTTTGAATAATAATAATTATTTTTCAAATTTTGTTTAGCCAGGGATGGATGAACAAGATATTGTTTCAAGGGAATATTTAATTGGGATATGTTTTTTATGTCAAATCTGCCTTAGATGCAAAGTAGATCAAACTTTTCTAAATTATGATTGTGAATTGGAAAAAAAACCTGTTAAAAATGATTTTAATTCAAAAAAAATTTGATCCAACCTCAAATACTTTAAAAGGGCAACAAATACTTTTATTTAAAGAAAAAATAGATATTATGGATATGGTTTTAGTTTCACCAAAAGTTTTTCTTTTTGTTTTGTAATAGCTGTAATTCAAACCTTCATAGATCAAAATATAAAATACATACAACTCTACCAACTCAAGAATTCATTACTGCTGCTACTATTACTCAACTAAACCAAGAATTCATTGCTGCTGCTACCACTGCTCAATTAAATCAAGAATCTACTACCACTACTACTACTCAACCAACTCAAGAATTCATATTTCAATAAAAAAATGTCATCATCAGTCTTTTCTTACAATGTTTTAACGGATTTAGCGGATTTTTATATATATTCGGTATACTGGATATTTTTTTAAACCTTCTCATGTCGTACATTAA